GAAGAGCGAATCATCGCCAAATACCGAAAGGAGGCGGAAGAGTGCAGCAGAGGCGGCTGGTACCTGAGCTGGTGCATGGACGTGAATCCCGAGGAGCGAGCAAGGGGGAAGACGCAGGAGCTGAGTCTCTGCAGCTTCGTGGTGGCAGCTGGCGGAGGCAGCCCCGTCAAAATCAACGTCCTCGATGCGCCTGGTCACCGAAACTACGTTGGCGAAATGATCGATGGATCATCACGGGCCGATGTTGGAATTCTGGTTGTTTCTGCTCGATCTGGTGAATTTGAGGCTGGTTTCCGTGGCGGACAGACGCGAGAGCACCTGAGGCTGCTTCGGGCGTCATCTTCGGTTGGGAAGCTCGTTGTTTTGGTGAATAAAATGGATGAAGTTGGCTGGGAGAGTGGAAGACTGGCTGAAATCACCAGGAAATTGAGTAAGTTCATTGGTGGCCTATTTGGGGAGTACACCGTGATACCAGTTAGTGGAATGGGAGGAGACAACCTGGTTAAAAGAAGAGAGGGATCAGAGAGGACTCTACTGGAAGAGTTGACAGAATATGGTAGTGGTAGTGGTAATAGTAATAAGGGTAATAACAGTAATACTAATAACAACAGTAACTATGATAACAGTAACTACGGTAACAATGATAATACCAACCAACTTAATGCCCTCGTTGTAGAGAGAAGCAGAACGAGCTGTGCTATAAAAATAGAGGCGGGTGTGCTTCGAACCAACGAGGAGTATTCGCTGGTCTCACAGGGTGGGACGCAGGTTGTGGTGGTTTCAGAGGTGCGAGACGAGGAGGACGAGGAGGCGGATGGGTCTCTGCTTCGCGGGGTCTATCGGATTCGTCTGAGCAGGGCAGTGGAGGCAGCAGTTGGGTCGCGAATAGTCGACGGGGCACTGGCTGAGAGAGTCGTCAGCAGAAACAGAATTGTGGCTGTGATTGGGGTCTACGGTGACTGTAGCAAATGTGTCACAGTTGGATACAGTGGTGTGATGCACATGAATGGAGTGAGTGTGGGGGTGAAGGTGACTGGGATCTGGGACACGGGGAAGAAGAGACGAGTTGCACCAGTGGGAGAGAAGAGCATTGTCAGAATTGAGATCAAGGACGGGATAGTGGTGGATAGGAGAAAGAGAGAGAGATTCAGTCTACGAGACGAGGATGCAACAGTAGGAATAGGAGAGATTATTGGGTAGGATAGTAGTTAGTTAGTAGTTAAAGAGTCACCTATATAAATTAGTAGTACTAGTTGGATTTACCTATATTAGAGTTAGCTATTATATTAGAGTTAACTACCTGAATAGAATTAGCCACCTGAATAGAGTTAACTACCTGATTACTACCTAATTGGAGTGACTGTCTGATATCACCTGTATTTCTCTATGCCCTTCTTCTTGCTACATTTCGTGGCACAAATCTCTCTTTCCTGTGGCATTCAGCGCGTACTTTCACTACTCTCAGGTGGCATGCGCATGAGATGCAATACGTGTCGATGTTGAAGAAGGTTGGCACGTCTGGCTCGGCGTAGACTGTCGCAAGGCGGAGATCGTCCATCGAGGCAGCCTCGACCACGGGGCTGTTGCTGCTGCGCGAAACAGACTTGTCCTTGGGCGAGACGCGGCCGCATTGGATNATGCAATACGTGTCGATGTTGAAGAAGGTTGGCACGTCTGGCTCGGCGTAGACTGTCGCAAGGCGGAGATCGTCCATCGAGGCAGCCTCGACCACGGGGCTGTTGCTGCTGCGCGAAACAGACTTGTCCTTGGGCGAGACGCGGCCGCATTGGATGCATTGGACTGTGCTGACTGAGCCACGATTCATTTTGCTACGACCGTGATTTTGTCTCTTTACTGGCATTGGGGTAAAAAAGAGTGAAAAAAGTAGTAGGAAAACAGGGGTGGTTGTATAGGTAATAGTATAGTAGTAATAATAATATAGGTAGTATTGTAAGTAGCAATATAAGTGGTAACATTATTATTGTAAGTAGTATTATTGTAGTAATAATATTACTACCACTACAAGTATATCTTCTGCACTATCATCTCCCATATCTTGGGCACCTCTTTCTCTACTACACTTGTTCCATCCTCAAATGCCTCGGTGTCACATCCACGTCCTTCTTCTCTTTGAATCTCAGCCTGAATCAGCCTCAGATTCCCACTGTTCTTGCAAGGCGTCTTGCAAATCACGTTCTCAGGGTAGAGCTCAGCCTCCTTCTCGTTCATGAATTTCACGTAGACGTCGTACTTCTTCATAATGCGCTGGATGTGGCGGCCAGACGTCCCANTCTTTCTCTACTACACTTGTTCCATCCTCAAATGCCTCGGTGTCACATCCACGTCCTTCTTCTCTTTGAATCTCAGCCTGAATCAGCCTCAGATTCCCACTGTTCTTGCAAGGCGTCTTGCAAATCACGTTCTCAGGGTAGAGCTCAGCCTCCTTCTCGTTCATGAATTTCACGTAGACGTCGTACTTCTTCATAATGCGCTGGATGTGGCGGCCAGACGTCCCAATGATCTTCTTGTGGTGTCGCGAGTCGACTGAGAAGAGCAGGAAGCTCGGATACTCCTCATTTGTTAGTTCAAGTGCATGAAACACACTCTGAACACGAGTAGCACGAATTGTGTAGCGAGTGGTGGATGATTCAGGGGATATCTCTACGGTAGTCCCAGTCTCGCGCATGATCTTGTTTGTCTTGCCGTACTTCTTGCCAGACAGAAATCCATTTGTTTCCTGGTCCACCGTAAAAGTAACCGTAAAGTTGCCACTAGGGGTAGTTAGGCTGGTAGTGCCACCAGGGGTAGTTAGGCTGCTGATTTCACCCCTGTTATCAGTGGCAAACCCCCTTGTCATATCCTCAACTTCTCCTACGTATTTGGTCCCCTGTAACCCATTTGCCACTATAATTCTGCCTCTATCACCAATAGCCCATTCTGAATCAGTCTCCATCTCGTACACCTTGCGGTAGATCTCATTGAACTTGTAGAGAACGACCTTCTGGCAGCAGATGCGCTCTGAGACCAGGGCGATCTCGTCGTGGCCAACAACAAGGCGACTCCGGTACTCAGCCAGAAATGATCCAATTTCATCGTGGTAGTTCAGGAGCACAAAAAGAAGGCGAGTTTGACTCACTGGGAGGATGGTGCTGTTGTTGGAGGCGATCTCGTTTTGGGTGATCTCAGTTTGGTTGAGGACGCTTCCAACAAACTCCTTCGTGAAGCGGCCTACGTGTTCTGGGGCCATTTTGATCTCAATTCCCTGGGGCTTCTTTGTCATTGCCAGGCCCAGGGAGAGAAGGGCGCTCTTCAGGCGGAGCGTGTTGTAGATGAAGTTCAGCGGGTGATGGCTGTGCTTTGGAATCGTGAACGTCACTCTTTCAGAGGATGGATCAGTTTGAGAGTGTTCGATTGCCATATTTTTGGGCCTGGTTTGTGCTTGGTTTTATAGTGTTTTAATTTGGTTTTGGAATAGTGACGGTAGTTAGGTACATAATGAAGTGGGTGGTGAAAGATGGGTAGTTAGTGAAGTAGGCAGTGAAGTAGGCAGATTGGAATATTGGAGGGAATATATTCATAACCACTTTCATACTTATATTAACAGTTACTGTATTATAAAAACGATGTTGACAGGATTCGAACCTGTGCGGGACGATCCCATTAGTTTTCTAGACTAACGCTTTAACCACTCAGCCACAACACCAAAAAGTGGGGTGAGTGGCTATATGAGTGGGGGAAGGAGATTCATAGGGTCTTCTAAAATGACTGTTTCAAAATGTCATTCTTAAAGTGTTTGCAGCACAGGTGACCAGAATCATCAGATGACTGGCTGTTTTACGGCTGCAGGATGTTGGACACTTCCAGGACATCTCATTAGAGGAGTCCTACGATGATGGTCGGGGTAAAAATGGTGAAAAATGATAAATGACGCCCATAATGAAGGAATGCACGTATTCGAAGTGTCCACAGGCAAAGAAGAGGAAGAAGTGGCTTGATGGATTCGTGAAACAAGTTCGGGGGAAAATGAGACTCTTTGATTCCAATAAAAAGGTGATTTATGAAAGTGAGAAGTATTTCATAGATAAAGATGATTCACTGAGAATGAGCGTGTTTACGGTGGAAGTGGATGACTACACGTTTATGAGCAAGGATTTGGTTGAAAGTGAAGTAACTGAAAGAGTGAGGGAGACACCTAAGGAGTTTCAGGTTGAAAAAGACGTATTGAAAATAGAAAAGAAGATGAAAAATGAGAATAGGGGGAAGATGAATATGGGGCGTAGCAATGCAGAAATATTGGAATTGATTAGAAAATAAATAATTATTGCCCAATATGTACGTAGAATTTAAGAAAATAGACAGGAAGTACAGGAGGATTCGGGAATGTCTGTTGGGGAAGTACGAGGGTCTCTGTGACAGCAGTGACGACGTGTTGGACGTGAGGACGAGGAAGTTTGGGAGAAAGAGAGGGAGAAAAGTGACCAGGAAGTTTGTGGGGAAGTCAAACAATAAGAAACTAAAGAAGGTCATAAAAATAGTAGGAATAAGAGACAACAGGGTTCAAAGTGTTCTGGAAGTGAGGAATAGGCAGGTGAAAGTGGAGAATGTCGCATTCATGAGGAAACCACGGTGCTACGATAACAGAAAATACGCAAATTTGAAGTACAAGAAGTCATTTGATCTGATTTACGACGAACTATTTGATACCAGTGAATTGTTGTGATTCTTGTTCAGGTTTCTCAGGATAACGTGTTTGCTGTTTTCTGATTCGATTTCATTGATCAGGTTTCTGCTGAATGTCTCAGATCGCATTCTGCCTGGGAGACTGCTAGATTTGATCAGAAATAATTCGATCATTTTCCAGTCATTTTTGACCATGAACCTTATGAACAGACGGAGTGTCTCGTTTTTGATGAAGATGTCGCAGATCACAGACAAATCAGCTCGATTTATCGCATCACAGGCCTGGCCGATATCTCCTTCAAGCAGTTGATTTATATTTTGCCCAAAATAATTCAGATCATTTCCGCCTTGTTCTTCTACCAGGGTGGAAGAAGGCTGATTTGGTGTTTCAGCCCTAATTCCTGCTATTTTCGCGTATTTCTCCATCTTGCACCTTAGGGCATCCTCTCGCTTGCGGGATGCTCTTTCTACGTCAATCATCCTCTGTTTAAGTAGGAAGTTCTCCTTTTCGAGACACTTGTTCTTGTTTTCGAGTATTTTGATTTTGGCAGAAAAGAAGCTGTTTTGATCCATGCAAATTTTACGATTCAAAACGCCCTTATGATAGTCCATAAGATAAAGTGTATAATCCAATCTAAATTGAATCAGATACTGGCAGGAGCACAGCCAGTGGTCTACAATGGTACGGAATATCCATTCTACTTCGTAGACGAGCTGTTTACGACCTACAGTGCCATGGGAGAGAGGTGCTTCCTACAGGACTTTCTTGAGGCATTAGAACAGTGTGAGGATTTGCTGCTTTTGAAGTCAAAGAATACGAGACACTCAATTGTGGGAGAAAAGAAGAAAGTGGACAAGAGACAGGCTCTACAGGTGTTGGAGGCCATTGAAAACAGGGATGTCGGACTGGAAAGGAAGATTGTGAAAGAAATAAAGCAGAATGTGAGTATACAGGAGCATAAAACGAACAAAATAGAGAGACAAACAAAAAGGTTGGTATTTGACTACAGCGATGATGACTCGTTAAGCAGTGAGTTCTACGAGGTAAAGACAGGCCCAAAGAGTCTGGCTGAGAGACTCTCTGCCGCTGGAAGCACGAGTCATCAGGCTAAATTTGCAGAATTAAGAGAAAGAATGATTTCTGCTTTTGGAGAGCATCCAGTTCTTCCAATCAGCTCCCTGAATATGGCATTGTGCAAGAAGCATGGAATTGGCTTCGATTGGAAGACGTATCCTTGTGAAATATACAGGCACAAACATGGCACCCTGAAGAAGTTTCTATTTTGCTGCAAATTCCTGAAAGTCGTCACATTCAGAACAACCTACCTGATTTTGATCACGCCTGAAATGACTCAACTCTGCCAAAAGAGGATTCTGACGTATGCAGTGCCACCATCGCATCCAAAATTCAGATTCTACGCCGAATTGCTTCTTACGAGCATCTTTGCTATTCGAGTTACAGTTCCCTACGAAGACTTCTACGATATTTTTAAGGCAGTTTATTTCAGGGAATTAGAAGGATTCCTGGGAATGAAATTGAAGAAATTCATAGCAATGTATAAGTCACCAAATATCCAGCTGCTACAGGCTAGAGACAGTCAAAGTGTCACAGTGGTGCCATTTGGAGATGAATCATACACAAACTACACCAATGTGAATGTGTACGATGAAATTGTGAAAATGGAGAGGAATATTGAGAAGGTTCATGTGCATAAAAATGAGACAGATGTAAGCGTATTAGACGTATTGGGGATGAAAAAGAAACCTGTTGGGGAATCGAACCAAGGTGGGTGGAAGGATTCGCTTTCAGATAAAATGAAGCAGCTGGTTTGTATAGCAGACATGAATATTCCAAAGAGGATTCAGGTTCAAAGCAACTTGAAAGTGGATAAGGAGCGAGAATACGATGATTTGTGGAAATATTTGGTTGTAGGAGTTAATACTGATAATAAAAGGGCATATTTATGATAGAAGAAGAGAAGGATAAATTGAATATAATAATGGTATATGTTGATTTAAATATATATTTAAAGTTTACTAATTAATTTTAGTATAAATACCTGTTTAAATACCTGTTTAAATACATTGATGTATGAACTAAAATATTTATATAGATTAAAAGGTTATGCTAATATAAATCACATTTGTATGTTCAAGCTAGTTTAACGTGTAAATTGTTTGTTATTTTACAACAACATATAAGTAATAATATGCATTCTAAGCAAACACAAACGTATTATAAATATTTTGTCTGTATATTTCTTTACCAAACTTACTAAAACATATCTTGGTACTTTAAATATTTTATTAGTTTAATGATGAACATTTGGAATTCAAGATAAAATTATAATTCTGTGAATTGATGAGTAGAAACAAGCAAAAATTTTTGTATACTAATCATTCAATTTATTATAATTAATTTTAAAAGAATAAAGAAAAACAAAATTACAGTATTTGTCCAAACACTTGTATAGACACAAAATAGTAAGAAGTGTAGTATATAGTTAATTAAAATGTGACAACAGGACATATTTTTTTGTAATCCCGAAAAAATGAAATGTAATTTTTCATATCAATTAATAAAAATGTAGACACAAACAATATTACACGGCTATTTTAATTTATTAAATTTTATTTTTGTAACCATTATATAGTTTTGAGTCTCAATATTTTCTCTACAATACGAATAAATTATATTGTTGTGTTTTCTGAATGTCTCAGATAAATAAAATACTTCAGCTAAAATATTTAAAATCAAGCAAATGCTTTTGCTACAAAGAATTTTAAGAATATCATTTAGTTTTATTTTCAATAAATCTTATACTATGATAAAAACAAAAGTTTAATATATAATAAAAAAATGCATCTCAATTGTATATATTACACATATGGTTAGTGTTTCTGATAATTTCATAACTTGTAAATATTTTCAAAATAATAAATTGTTAGTCAGATATTCAGTGGCAAAATCTATTTGGTTTGTTTAATGCTTGTCAATCTAGAAGGAAACAAACCATAATATACAATGAAAATATAGTCATATTTTATATTTCAAGGGTTTTGCTATATACCACATATGTAATTATTAATATGTGGTCAAATTCAATTTTAAGTATTTAATTGTTATGATTTTACCTGTTCATTCTTATTTATATTTATGATATATTTTAAGACATACAGGCATTTTACATTAATTATTTAACTATCATATAAGATGTTTTATAAACTAAGTGACATGTTTATAATAACATGCACGTATTTTAAATGATTAAATAACTATTAGCTTTGTACTTTTCTGTTATAATGGTTAATTTACAAACATCAATTGAAAAAGTTTTTAATATTTTAATAGTAGCCCTTATATCAAAAGTCAAATGTACATAAGAAGAATATAAATTCTAGATAACAATAGCGTCTATTTGAATTTCTTTTTATTATTACTTATAAATATCAGGCGGTATAATGAACACATGAGTAACCCTCTTCAAAACAATATTTTCTATTACAGTTTTATGCTATATTTCTCTTAAAAACAATTTCCTTTTAAGAATTGCATTTGACCTATTTCTTAACAAAAACATTAAATTGGATAGAAGAGTTTACATTGGTAGAATGTTTAATTTATTCAATAAAGGTTTTGAAATATTTCACAATTATTTCTTTTAATATAATATTTACTTATGGTGCAAACAAATTAAATATTTTTTGATTCTAACTATCTAATAAATATATAACCCATAGGATAGATTGGTGTTTAATCACGTTTTTTATAGAATTCAAGGATCATGTCCTTTTTTTCCCCACGTGGGGAAAAAAAGGGACCTTAGAAATTTTAAGGTAAAAATCCACCCTTTATATTTAGTAGGTTTTTACCCTTATGTTTAGCTACTACCAGAATGTGCTGGAACCTGTTATGAATGGGCCTGTTGCGGGTCTCGTGGAGTTCCTCAGAGTTAGAGGAGTGTTGAAGCGAGTGGTTGCATGTCCAACGTGCTCTGTTGACATGGTATGCAAGCCATACACCCGCAACAAAGATGGAATGGCGTTCAGGTGCTACAACCATGATTGCAGTGGATACT